CCTAATTCTACGCAAATTTCCAAATTGTAAAGAGGTATTTTAGAGGACACACCAAACATTCGCCATCAAGGCAGTAACGATCGTAACCACAAGATGTACCATCGGGCAAGTTATCGCCAAAGAATCGATAGTTTCTTTGTCCTCCGAGACGATTCGCAACATCGCAAAATACCTTAAAGAATAGAAAGCTTATGTTGAGTAGAAACTATGGAAATCTTCTTCTTTGTTACTCTTTTGTTGGCCAAAGTGGGAATGAGTTCAAACCCTTAGCAGTTCAATAATCTGTAGTGCCACCTATCTTATTAAAGCCCACATATATGTCCTTTTCCCTGATTCGGCATTAATTTCACCGATAAAAGCAGGTTGTTCGAAGCGAAATTCCTGCCAGTTGAAAAGCGGCAGTGTACAATGTCAAAAGGCGCCAACATTTTCATCAAGGCCAAACGCAGGAAGACACTATTGAATTGACGAGCGGAACGGTCATCACTTCCATACATCAGAGAAAACGCCAACTCTTGTAGGCAATGCTTTTGGTTATCCATCATTTTGGGTTCCGAAACCGTAGTTTGGAGTACTTTTTCAATGTAATAATCCAAAAAATAGCGGCAAAATTTCGATCCCTGACATTGCTTTCACTTCTCAAGGATTCACTGATGAAATCCATTTCAAGAGTATAACCATTAATTTCTCTCTTTAGATTAATGCCATCACATGTACGATCCATGTGGTGGTCATACCTTCAAACTCGTACAAAGGTTAGGTAAACACTTCACAACTTGAATATACGCATTAGGCGTCGAGAACTTGACGTTGAAAAGCAAATTTTTTCAAATCCAGCGGCTAAATGATAAACCTTGAGGTATTTGTTGCAGCTTTAAATTTTAGGGATTGCTTAAACAGCATAAGGAAAGCATCTGAAGTGAATTTTAACTAAGTATTAAGATGTATGATAAATTTCGAGAAAGTAATTGACTGTACTTTTTGCCAATTTATTCTTGGCAAGCTCGCGTTCATGAAATAGGGTTTTGAAGAAACAGCAAAAATACCTTGCAGGCTCTTTGCGGGAAACGATTCAACTGGCTGCCGGAACCGGTAAGATCTTGATCGTTCTTGAGCTTTTTGTGTTCCGTACACTTTTCCGTAATGTACTTAAAATAACATAATAATAAGTACAGTTTACAACGAACTTGATACCTCAAACAAACTGTTACCTCGTCGACGGTTTGCAGCTGTTTCGGACATGATTTGTTGCAAATGATTGCACGTATCGTTGACCCCGAACAATCTTCTCCACCATTTGCCGGATATGGATTTGAGCATGTTCTTCGAGAAATGGCCAAGCCAACACCGTCAATAATCGGATTACATGTACATTGATTGCAGTTGGGAGTTGACCAGGCCGAAAATCCTCCATCCACT